AAGTTCAACTATTGTTAAATAGAATAAAGTTCAACTAAACTCACTGTTTTGCTTCCGTTACGTTTTAGCATGCGCCTTATAATACGGTGCGCCTTATGTATGGGTTAAGTACAGAAATAGACCCCGTAATTGAGACTGCGCCTTATAATCTGGTGCGCCTTATGGTGCGCAAAATACGGTATCCATCTTAAGAAGCAATAGTACTTCAGCAGTTAAAATTATGATGTCATTACCAATATCATCATCATTATTTGGTCCTCACCATAATTATATTATTCACGTTTAAGTTAATGTAGTGTACTAGCACATAAATAAGCACACAAAAGTAAATTAGCAATGTCTCTTCTTTGTCAGCTTTGTTGCTTTTCACTAACAGAAAAACATAACTACACTTAATTCAAGAACATTCAACCCAAACACTGTGTGTGTTGAAGAGTACCTTGGAGAGAAGCTGGTAGGAGACAGCAGGAGGGCCGGGCTGGCCAGCAGAGCTGCACTCCTCTTTGAACGAGGATGTTCTGGGGTGGTTAAAACTCGTTTCTGAGAGCCCTGTACAGACACAAACAAACACGGTCAGAGCACAGCACATTAAAACCAAGTGTTATCACATAGACTCAAACTCACAGCTAGTGAGCCACACCTACAGTAACTCATCTTTAAAGTGTGGATCTAAACAGAAAAACTGTCCAGGTTTTGTCTGTGAGGTTCTGCTCTTGTCAGTGAAGTCTGAAGTCAGAACATACCTTTGCAGGAGTAGAGTAGGAATCTAGCAGATTATCCTCCTCTTCTTCAGCTTTGATTCTGAACAAATAAATATCAAGGACTGCAACAAAAGCATTACCAGAAACTCATCATAGACAACAAACAGTGAAGCTGTTATTCTGAAAGATTAATGTGAAGGATACAATTCTTGCATCGAGTAGATGTCCCAGGTTCTGTTATGAGTTTCATGTTTTTTGAGGTTTTGCTTAAAATTATTCTTCTTTTTCAACACCTGCAAGAAAAATAAAACACACAGTAAATGCAAACTAGTTTGGACAGAAAATTTACTGGCAGTGGTGAGAGACGTTCCAATCATTTATGTCAATAGTACAATTTAGACAGTAAATGATACTCGTATAAAAAGGTAATTACAAAAATGTGATTGGAAATAATAAACACACTCAGCACAAGTATGTCACCTCATGTTCAAATTGTTCCACAGTGTCCATGGTGAGTTTTAATCCATCTTTAGTGGTGCTGTAGGCCACCCACTCTACCACTATGTCACCTGCCTGCATCCTGTTACAAATACACTGCTCCACCACTGAGGGAAAGAACAGAAAGCAGGTAAAGGTGGAGCAAACAAACAAGAGAACTTCTACCTAGGAGAACATCTGTATTCCAGTAAGACTATGACCCAGAGTTACAACAATGTTAATGTTCTGGAGTGGCCAAGTCAGAGCCCAGACCTCTATCCAAATGAGAATTTGTGTCTGTTCACTCATGACCCCCATGCAACCCGACAGAGCTGGAGCAGTTTTGCAAAGTAGAATGCAGAAAAATTCCAGTGCCCAGATGTGAAAGGTTTTCCAAAAAGGTTCAATGATGTTACTACTGCCAAAGATCTAATACAGATATGAAGGGGGTGAATACTTATGGGATCGATTATTTACCGTTTTATATATTTAATTTATTTGTAACAATTACTGAAAACCCAACACAGAACACACACTGTTCAAACAGAACATTTTAACTGATGAGACTTAATATCACAAAGGACTTCAGAACTACAATAGCGTATAATGGTATTTATTGTGCAAGTTTACCTGGTAAAGGAGCACTATCAAGTGAGCTAACAAATTAGCTACTTACTCTTATCGAGGACGTCTTCTTGGCAGTGTATGCCGAACGTTTCCAGCTCCAATTTTAAGCTTTCTGTGGTTACCGGCTCCATTGTTTATTTACGTTACCAGATCTTTATTAGACTGCAAATGTGGCAGAGCTCAAATGTCGCTTCATAACAATCACCGACGAGTTAATTCTCTTGATTTCTAAGTATTTGTTACTGTTACAACTAAAAGTTAGGAGAAGGACGAGAACTTCAGATAAACCTAATCATCACATACATTCCATTTTACCGCGAAAATGACTCCTGACATTGGCGGCTGGAATTTACGTCACATCCGAAAACAATACCAACCGAAAGCTGCTCTTCTTCCTCTTCTTCTACGGTTGTATGTGGGCGGTTGGCAAATATCTACCGGATGTTAGCAGCTCCACAAAATTAAAAGTCTCTAATGCCACCTAGTGTTCACTTCAAGTGATTATTGAGTTTTAGACTTCAGGTTTGTCAAAATATTTGTGTTAAACCAGTCTGGTTATCCCAGGTTAACTTGTGCCACATCATGATAGTATAAACTACAGAATAAACTAGTATTCAATTTTACATTGTTCAGTTTATATTGTTTATTTAGTAGGAATACAAAACAGAGAACATCAATAAAGTATTATCTCAGATCAGGGATTCAAATGATTGTAGATCAGAGCTGCAACAATTAGTTGATGAATCAAACAGCCAAAATAAATGCATTGCCAACTACTGTGATAAAAAAAAAGAATCTTCTCGTGGCAAAATGCCAAAGTTTTGTTAGTTTCAGCTTTTCACATGTATGAATTTACTGCTTTTCTTGTCTTATGTTAATATTTCTACATTTTGGAATGTTCAGACAAAACAAGATGCTTAATGGCACCACCGGGTGCTGTTGGATATTTCCATGGGTGTTTAGCATGGTTTTTAGATGTTTTACAGACCAAGAATAGTCCAGGAAATAAAGGGCAGGTTATTTGATCATGAAATAAGTGTTAGTTGCTGCCCGATTGCACATCTCTTTTGGAACATTTTCTACCTTTTATCTGTTCTATCACATCTTCTTTAACACACAAACTATAACAAAAACAAGGTATTTTTAAATTAAAGGTTAAATAGCTATTTCTGTAACCAGCAGGTGTACAACATCCATTAATAACACATTCTCAGGTATATACATTTCAGTTTTAACTGCTTCCACAGCCTTCAAACAGAACAAAACTCTTTCATGTCAAATACAGACATTCTCAGATTTCTGATCTGGTGGGCTCATTGCTCTCAGGGTATTCTTTCATCTGTGGAAGCAATGATGTGATGTTAGATTATGGCAGAAAATCAAATGCCTAGAAGGAACTAAGAACTGGTTGGTGCCAGTGAACAGGAATACACCACTCACCTGAGCAGAGTAGCACTTGCCCTTGGGGATGAACTTCCATGATGTCACCCTCTTCAGAGATTCACAAAGGGAAGCAGACAGTTCATGTGTGTCACACACCTGATAAACACATACATTATGTATGTACAATTGGTGTTTGTCACACTGTCAACATATATGCTTGCACTATATATCTTTGTATGTAAAAATGTAGCAGATAACCTCATAACATATTTGCATGCAGCATCATTTTCAAATTATAGGAGATATGAAAGTGAATAATTCTTTTATTTTAGAATTAAGTATAAAGATCCACACATACATTTTGACAAATAACTTCTTCACACCTTCATGCTGTTCAGACAGGCATTTCTGAAGTCCAGGTTACTGCTGCAGCTCACAATACTGACTGATGAACTGAGAATCACCTTGACAGCTGAATGCAATTTCTCTTGGTCCTTAAACATCACACACGACACCCAAATATCTATGGTTAGGGATGTAATTAATGACTCTTTTCAGGATTAATATGGTGCTTAGTTTTTGCTGGTAATTTTTTGCTCATTAACAAATGAATAATTTGATCCATAAAATGTCAAAATAGAATTAAAAATGACTAGTCATCCTTCACAGAGAAAAGCAAAAAATCCCCTTTCTGTCGGTCTAGTAGTCAAATAACTATTTCAAACACTAGTAGATAAAAATAGTGCGGCAGTTGGTGTGTGTCTGTGTAACTCACTTGCCTTTTTCCGGCGATTTTGGGCTTTCAGCACATTCTTAATCTCAGTATGCAATGCTGCTGTGACTGCCTGCCTGTTGTTGCTCAGAATATCCTCCAGGTGGTGCTCTATCAGTGCCTCTGTGGCTGTAAGAGGATTACATACATCCTAGTTACTACTGTAACTGTAACAACTTAGTCTTGTTTTCAGTTCTAGCAGAAAGACTGAATAAAGGCTCTATTCAACCCAGTGTTTTGTGACTGTACATACTGCAGCTGTCTCTCACCCATATCATCAGAGAGCTGGGAGGTGAATGGATCACTGTGCTGCAGGAAGAGGAACAGCCGGACACTCTGCTGTATTGAGGGAAGACGTGATTCTTGCTCTGGGTCTTCCCAATTTTCCTGCTCTACTGTGTACACAGTGCCACCACTGTACACAAGATCTTCAGAGGATGTTAAAGCATTTTATTAGGCAATTAAAAAATGTGAAAGAGGGAGAACAAGAATGACATCACGATTGTTAATGATAATATCCACTATAAACAGAACAAACTACAAGCCTACACTGGCTAAAAGTACACTAGTAGAGCGGTGGGGCAGCTGCTGTGGATCATCTGACGCTAAAAGTACACTAGTAGAGCGGTGGGCCAGCTGCTGTGGATCATCTGACTGTTTGCCCTCAGCAAATGGAAAAGACAAGAATGTCACAGTCATTTCCCAAAGAGATGCAATATTTTCAGGATATTTTAGTATTTTTTTCATTTTTCATGACATTGTCAGAACTAGAAGACAGGTCTGAAAACTTCCAGGTTTCTCAGGTTGCATACTTGACTGTGAATGAATAAGCTACTTGCAATTTATGTAGATCTGCATTTTGCTTGTGGTTGTGATTCACCCTGTGTAATCTACAAGAGGAAAAACACTTACGCAACAGCAATTTCTGAGAAATCTGTCTTTTTTCAATCAGAATTGACACTATGTATTACTCTATATGCCAGACAGTGATTTTAAGTAATAGAGTTTCTGGATTAAAATGTCTCTTTTCATCAAAGCAGACTCCGGTCAACTCTCCCATACATCATTTAGACTAAATTTGGCCTAGTCTGCAAAGAAGTGAACTGACTGCCTGATAAGAAATTAAGAAAAAAATCCAAATACTCCAAAACTAAATGAACACTGACATTAAACCTGCAATGAGGCTGGTTTTCATTTTGATATAATCACTGTTGACTGGACACAAATACTGTCGATTATTTGGACTATTTCACTGTGAAACACACCCAGCATTCGCAACTCTCTGCTGTGAGAATTTTACACAGTGGGAAAGCAAAACTATTTCTTGCATCAGAACCAAACAGTTGCAATGAATCACATGTGCAGATTAGTTGCATATAGATCTAATTAGCAAGAGACATGTTTATAATATGCATTGATAATCACTTCACTTCTGGAGCACAGACTTGGAACATTGTCACAAAAAGAAAAGCTTGTAGTCCACTCTCTCTATGTGCTGTCACTTTAAAGCTTTTATCATCTGTGTGTATTTGCTTTCCCTCTTCAGTTTGGTTTTACTCCTTTGATTCAAATTACAGGCCTTTTGTGATGCAAAGTTTTTATAAGCAGCTTGGGGACGGGCCTGTGTGCACATTCTCTCCCTGATAAACACAGATGGTTGAAATTAGTTTTCTTCCACTCAGATCTCATAAACAAGAAGCAACTAAGCCAAGTTTTAAGTCATTTAGAAAGTCACTTTTAAGATAGGATTTAAAGCCCAGGAATTCAGATCTACTCCGGGTTTAATTTATACCCTGTCCAGTAAATCAGGTTTTATAGCAAAAGTCCTAAAATGTATCCTGGCTGGTACTAGTTGTTTACCTTTGAAGGAGGAGCAGTGAAGGCCATGACAGCCCAGTTCTTCACAGTCCAGATGAGCAGGGATGATCTGGAAGAAGGTGGAGGGCCCTGTAACTGGGACATTACTGGGGCTGTAAACCAACAACTGGACACATGTGAAGTCAAGGATAACTAATCAAAGTCAGATGACCAAAGCATGCCAACTAAGTCAATACCAAAGAACACTGGTTTTACTCGGAGCTGCCCCCAGATGTCTGATCTCCTCGCCCCCACTCTCTGTCGGTAAGACCGGTCACCCTCCGAAAAAAAAACTCATTTCAGACATTTGTATCCAGGATTTCATTGTTTCAGTCATCTAATTACCCTACATGGGATCTGTAGTGTAGATCAAATACCTCAACTGCCTCTTGCCCAAGACAGCCACCCCCAACACTGTTCTGATGTGTTGGGAGGGGGAAGGTATGTCTGACTATTTTTCAAACAATCCAACTTAGAATAGAAAGCTTTAGCTTGGTTTAAAGTGTCCTCTCTGCTGCTTATTCACACTTTTTGAGTGAAAAGGCTTCTTGTAAAGACTGTTTGGCTAACCCCATTTTTAAATCATACTGCTTCTTCTCCCTCTCTATGGTGGCCAGCTTTTCACTGCTCCTTTGTGTGTGGCTGTTCAGAATAACTATGAACACATTCAATTTCTCATATGGTAGGGCAAGTCTTCTCAGCTGTTCTAGCATAACCTGACCCTTTCCTGACTCAGGAAAAAGACCTGAACTCCTTCACTTGGAGCAGTGATCACTCCCTGTCCAGGCACTTCAGCATTCAACTGGCCCTCATCCCTACTTTCATACTCAGCTGCAAATGTCCGAGTACACACACTGGACATCACAGTCGGCCGAAGCCGGTTGAACCACACCATCTGCAAAAGCAAAGATGAAATCCTGAGGCCATCGCACAAGATGATCTCCAGAACTCACCAAATCACAAACAGAGTTATGATTAAATCAGCAAAAGATATTTGTATGTGAGTTAGCTGGGTTTCCAGATTGGGGTACTGCAGCACACAGGGGCTCAGCAGGGTGACGGGTTGGACACTGAGCTCCCCGTACAGACCCTGATCCATGACTTGTGCTGGGATACTGAGTGGCAACCTGTCTCCACGGACAGGATGTCCTCCCTGACACCAGCATCCTTTTTTGACACACTCTGGAGGCCTGTGAAAACAAGAAGAGAGAATCACCTTCTGCAGACAAAAACATGAATACAGTATTTTCAACATGCTGTTGCAGCACTGGCACACAAAAATATCATTTCTTTTGGTTACATATCTATCATTTTTCTTGTGAAAAAAAGACATGTTTGTTCCACACAAACATATTAAATAATATAAAAACAACATTACTGACTGCGTCTTGCAGGTGACATCCAAGATCACTGATGGTTGGTCCACCTTTGCAACTTTACTTTTGATTTTCACTCTACAGGAATGTTAACATAATGTTAATACATTGTACAAACACGGCATTGCCATTGGTCATTTAAATTATGAACTTACACCCCTGGGGAATTAAAAAGAGCAGAGAGCCTTTACATATGTTTTTATGTTGTAGCTCCTAGAGCCCAAAAACCCAGCAAGCCACTACTAAAACCCAACTTGATATACTAGTATGCAGTCTTTGTGTGTTAAGGTTAATTGCTACTTTAACATGTTTTAATTACATTATAAAACAAAAAAATCTAATTCCAGTGTAATGCATGGTAATAGCATAGGTCACCAAATTAACCTCCTCTATCATGAGATAACAACAGGGAAGTTTTCTAGAATTACTCAACAAGGAAACTGTAAGTTTTGCCTGTGTAACTGGAGTCATACCTGAATTCTTGTTGGAGGGTCTGCTGATTGAATTTAAATTTGAGGTGTGTTTTTATCTGTGGAAAAAAAAAACAAAGAAGATATGTCAGCTTTTGGCTAACTATCATAGTATATAACTGTGAATAGAGGAAATTATACTGATTCCTGATTTCATACCCCTGCGTTAGCCAAGCTGAAGGTGTGTAGGAATGACTCTAAATGAGCTAGCAACTCTGGGCTGAAACCTCTGGCATCTATCATCTGTACAATGCAATAAGATAAGCACAGAATACAGTGTCCTTTAGAGGCTCAATGTGATCAGTCATTAATCATAGCTGAGAGTAAAAACATGAAAAATTCCTCTACTGATTTAAGGTAAATAACTTTTGTTCAGTTTAAGTTGCATTTATTGACATAGTGATTATTTGATCCAATTAAATACCTATAAAGTGATCTGGCAACAATATCTAAGGTCATTATTATATAGACAAATACTGTGCTTACAAAGGTTTAAGACAACATTAAGCCTGTAACATTGTTAATTATTATTTAGAACAATAATGTGCTGGTAAAAAAAAAAAATCACTGTTGCTTGCACCTGAAAAGACACGAGTAATTTGAGGGAACCATATAGATCAGTGAAGGCACACAGCTCCTCTGGGTCAGGCTCAGGACATGGCCCAGGACAGAGAAAAAGGCTCTCCTTCAAATCTGTGAGGACTTAAGTAGCAAAAGAGGCGATAAAATAAACAAAAGCTGGATATTTATCTACTGTAGGCTGTGTGCTGGGCGTGTGTACATACCAGCCTGGAGTGCTTTCTTTTTAATCTCTGTACACCAGGGACCAGCAGCTGCAACTGTACCACAAACAGGGAACACTGTTACACCAATTTTTACTATATGGCAGATGTACTGTATTTGTTTTACCATGTCTAAAAGGAACTCCTAACAGCTACTGGCAGTCGCTTTCCTGTTAATTCTCTTTACACTGTGGGGAATGGAGCTCATATCTCGTTTTCTTTTAATCTTTGTTTTTTCCACACTATGCAAGTCTAGGCAGAAATTAGTCCAAATAAAGTTGTATTCGTACCGAAAGCTGACCAATTTCTGTCAATTTTTTATTGTGGTGACCAGTTTCTATTTTTGGATTGAATGGATATAGCACTTTTCTGTCAAATTTGAATGAAATTCTGTCTGATATAAACATTTTCACCCTATCATGATAGTTGTTTTTAGTCACCTTACTTATAAATAGGTGCAATGCATAAAAATATATAAAAGGTATTTCCTTATAAGCTAAGTGCTAGTAGATAGAAGCTTGTTATTAGACACTACTACTGCAAACAGTTTTGCTAGTTTCTTGGAATAGGTGTTGTTTGCTGCCAAGCCAGTTTATGAACCAGTTTACTATTCAGTTGGCCTTTTGCCAATAAAAGCCTCATTGTATTGGTGTTGTGATGCCTTTCTCCACTTCAGTTAGCTTATGTACTGAACCTAAATTTTACATATATTTAACCAGTGAGAATAATAAGTATATTTGGGCTCGGCTTTGATAGACATTTCAACTTGATAAAATGGGGTTTAACCGCCTTTAGACACCTTTTCTGTTGGTAATTCATAAAACATGCTGAATGCTAAGTCTTACCAGTGCAGCTTAGACTTTTAAAAGAAGTTCCTGTTTCAGTCCACAGAAATACCAGAAGCCCTCCAACAGTCTTTAAACCATACCGTTGTCTTCGCTTTCTCGAAAGCATGACCGCCCGCAGCACCTTATAGTAAGAGATAATTAAAAAGACAAACACCTAGCTTAGCAAGCTAACGCTACGACCTATGCTACGCTAGTAAGCTACGAACATAGGTAGCCTGTCTGCATTTTATAAATCATTACAAACAGGGATTAACTATTAATTAACCAAAAATTTTACGTATATAAACTCGGTGTTCCTCGCTAGAATAACCATAATTTAACCGTTACCTGTCGTAATTCTCTGAACATTTTTGTGTATTTACACATCAGCTTAACTGCGAGTACTAATATCTTACAATGACCTGAGCCACTACTCAGCTACACCCGATATCATAGCTAGCAGTACTGCTAAATCTGTAAATTCAGTGAAAATACCTTACAATTGAGGTAGAATCCAGTCTATAAATCTAGCTATACAGTAACACATTTAAGACTTTTTATTTTTGTGAAAATTACCTTGATTTGATTATTGTAATTAGGAACTAAGAAGTACTTTCTTTATGATTTAACTGCCTAAATAGTTTATTTCTTTTTTATGTTCAGGCGTATTAAGTAAAAAACTTGAGAAAAAACATCAGTCACAACTTTCTTGAGCCACCATCCACTAATTTAAAAAAATCTGCACATTGGTTATAATTTCTAAAAGTTAAAAAAAAAAATTCTGTGTAATACTGTTAGGATTGGATTTCAGGAGTTACAGTTGTTTTATTTACTGTTAGTATTATTTTGCTTTTATAATGATAA